CCCTGCCTTGTTTGCCTCTGGAAGCGCAGATAGTATCATTGTTTCAATATCAAGAAACTATTTGTGTTCCCAATAAGAAATCACAAAACAAACCGAACCAAACCCACAAAGTTTAGAAAAACAAAACAGCCATTCAAATATAAGGATTTGCTTTGGTCCTACATTCCTGGCTGCCTGTTGTAATCAAAAGTTGCAAACATTGGAGATCTTGCCTATTCACAACTATCTGTTCAGCAGAGATCAGCTTGCCATGAAAGACAACAGATACCTTTTTCCACCCCTCCACTTAAAACAGAAAAACGGCTCTGCTAAAGTGGGAGCTGGAAATATGCCTCTCAACTGCCCTCCTTTAATTTCTAACCTTACCTTTGTTCAAAACAAATTTAGCATCTCCTCACTTGTGATGTGGAAAGTCACTTACTTCAGGAATAAGGAAAAGAATAATGATGTTACAGAGAGAATGACTGAATCCCACAGCATTTTAAATTCCCTTCTTCAACGTTACTCTACGGCCGCACTTTTCTGCCATACATAGTAGATTTTAACAGCAAGGCAGATAACTCTATCCTGGCCAAGATTCAAAACTTGGAGAAAATGGCTTTAATTAAAAAACAAACACCACCACTATTCTATTGTAATGTTCCAAAACACTGCACTAGTAGAGTGGATTTGGGTTTGAGGGAAGCGTAAGATTTGCAGGCAACGTAACCATGATGCAACCTAGCTTCTTGTACTTTTTTAAAGTACAGTGTCCTGAGATTCTTCATGTGGTTTAGAAATAGGTTCCTACATGTAAGCAATTAGCTATTTGCATGGATAGTTTCCTATGGATTGGCTGCACATATGCAAGACCAGTAATCCAAGATGTTATACTCCATTAGGTCAGCAAGTCTGCCTCTCTAATTTCTTCAGGAGTCCTTGACTTGATCAAGGCTTAGGAAGAATTATTACAGGCTTCCAAAGCAAAAATCACTTAAGAATTCTTTAGGCAATTCTTGAGAAAATAAATGAAATCATAGATAATAATGGCTCTGAAGAAGGCATTAGGGTCACCCGACACCATTCACCCAGTTACATGACACAAATGTGAACTTTCTTTTGTTAACCGGTCACTCAAGTAAATGGAGCAGATAGACACAATGCAGTTTGTGGTTAACGGTCTCCAATTGCTTGTTCAATTGGGGCCTGATCCTATGAGTTGCCATGTGCCCTACATTCCCATTTATTTCCCCTGGACTTGAATGGTCAACAAGCCTTTGCTTATGCAAAGCAAGTCACACAAGTAAAGGGCAGCAGAATACAAATAAAGCCTTACTAATCCAAGATTAACCCTCACTAGGATGGGGGCAGTTATTTCCTGGTAGCAAGTGGGATAGAGTCAACAAAATTCACTCCCAGGATAATGGAATGCATGTGCCCCTTCCTCCATAAACCACAGAGAGTATGTATTGTAATTAACAAAGGACACATGGGATTTGGGAACCTTTTTGTGGCTTCCCTGCCTTCAGTCCATAAATCTGCCTAGATGAGTTACTGACCCTTTAGAATAGGCCAATCTGAGGGAAAGGGGGCTATATTTTTGAGCAGCCTCCTCTCATCAGCACATGTCTTGTGAGCCAGGGTTAGAACATAAACCCATCTTTCCAACCTAGTTGCACAGGCTCTGCTCGTTGCTTAAACAGTTTTGTTAATTCTAATTCATAAAGCTTAGTAATTTGAATGCACGTCCCAATTTATTTGCTACAATAAGGGAAAGGACAGATACCAAACCAGATGGGGATTGCACTGTTTTACAGAATTGATTAGGTGACCACAACAGACTCAGTCTCAACCCCTGCTCAGTCTTAACGCTGAAAGCATGAGACTGTAGATATGTAAAACTCCAAGTAGCACCCTTCACTAGGTATTCTTATGCTTTAATTAGAAGTACAGTGTTGTTTCCTCACTCCAAATCAGCAGTTCAGCGAACAAAACAGGGTTTGTTTTACCTTTAATTCTGCCAAAAGATCTGCCTCTTTCCTTTTTGAGCATCTTTGAAGATTTTTCACTGATATGTAGAGTCATAAAACTGGAGGATTCAGCAAAAAAAGTTTGATATCTTATGTCACACTATTGTAGATAAAATCTTTTCTGACCAGTTGCACACAAACAGAAGGCCAGGGACTGCTAGAACAGTAGTTCTCAACCTTTCCAAAGTAGTGTACTCATTTCAGGAGTCTGGTTTGTCCTGTGTACCCCAAGTTTCACCTCAGTTAAAAACTACTTGCTTACAAAAGCAGACATAAAAAAAAAATACACAAGTGTCACAGCACACTATTACGGAAAAATTGCTTACATCTCATTTTTACAATATAATTATACAATAAATCGATTAGAATATATTGTACTTACATTTCAGTGTGATACTTGAGCCTGTTTTTCACTTGTCAGCCTTGTCTGAAGCCGGAGCTTTGAGTGGCAGGGCTGAAGCCTGAATCTCACCACCCCGAACTCTACATGTAACTTAGCTTCGCAGGGTCCCTTGTGGTATGAGACCCTGGGCAATTACCCTGCTTGCCACCCCGTAATGCCAGCCCTGCACTTGCAACCTCCCTAAACCCATCCCATGACCCCTCTGAGAGTTGCAACCCCAGGGTGCGAAACACTGATCTAGATGAGTTGAGTACCCCTTAGAAGACGCCTGTGTACCCCTGGTTGAGAACCACTGTACTAGACGTCCCTTCCAAAGCACCACTTCTGAAGTTCCACCTCTGTGCAATTCCTCTACAGATTTAATATTCAGGGTCTTGAAGGGTCTCTCAGACATGTTGAAAAATTCACCCCGATATATAGCATTTTCCTAGGGCGCTATGGGTTGAGATTTCCCTACTAACACTATACAATGTGAATGGTCCAAACATGGATTAGACAGATCCAGAGAAGAGACTTAGAGAACCAAGTCCACTCCACTGCAAGGGTAAAACAGTATATTTAGTCCATATATAATGTTTCAAGAAATGGGGCTTTGATCCATTTCTTTGGGAGACCATGGCACAAGCTAATGGTGCCCTCCCAGAACAATTTTTCTGGATATCCAGACATATGCGCCTTTTAATTTCCTCCAGCATAAATGGCTTTTTACCATCCTATCAAATCCTATTCCCTTTGTGATTACAGCCATTACCTACTTGTAGAATGGTAACATTCCAAACTGTTACTTAAATCGCTGTCTGCTATCACTTCAGCTATCTTTCAGCATTGCCTGCCTTTCAGGTTTTGGTAACCCATTGATGATTTTCTGTGTTACGTATTCTGCCTAGGATTCTGACCTCTCTGGTTGGTTCCTGCATTAAATACACCACATAGAACAGTGACCCTGTCCAAGGGCACATCTGCCTACCTCATTAGTGTGCTGTTTATTCCTTCTGTTAACATTTCACATGAGGATGAGACTGAACAGAAAGATGAACCAGTCTGACAGACATCCAAATTTGATACACTCCATTTACCACATCATTACCCTTTGGCTAAAGGACCATGAACAGTTTTTAATCTGCCTCAAAGTTTCTCAAACCCAAGTTATAAGAGTTGACTATATATATTTAAATACAGAATCTCAGGTCTTCTTCCATTAAGACAGGAAGTGCTGTTATCGGTCAACATTATTCAAGAGTTGAGACAACAGGAATTCTCAAGTACAAAATCTGGTGGCTGACAACCAAAGTATTTTGCTTTCATTTAGTCTCCCAGAATGTTAAAACAGTTTGTTGATGAATCCTAACTATGCGTTATTGCCATGAATCCTTTTTATAACCCCAGATTGACTGAGGAAGACATATGTTACAATTGTTGTGATGCTCTAACTCCAACACCTATGACTCACACAGTAAGAATACTTGAAACACAAGGTGGGTGAGGTAATATCTTTTATTGGACCAACTTCTGTTGGTGACAGAGACAAGCTTTCAAGCTTACAGAGCTATAGAGATGAAGAGCTCTGTCTAAGCTTGACAGCTTGTCTCTCTCACCAAGGATATTACCTCAGCCACCTTGTCTTTCTCCTATCCTGGGACAGACATGGCTACAACAACATTGCATACAGTAATAATACTTGGCACTTAACACCTTCAAAATGCTGTATCCTGAGTTAATCCTCAGAACACCTCTTGTGAGGTAGATTAATAGCGCCCCTCCTTTTACAGAGGAAGTCAGATGCTCCTGCCAGGAATTCCTACTGAATTCCATGAAAGTTACAGCTACTTAGAGCAGGGTTGAATTCGGCCCAGAGATATTAAAGGCAGATTATAACCAAGCTACAATGCAAATCTGTGGCAGAGTTGACAGTGAAATTCAAGAGCTTCTGGTTCACAATGCCCCAGTGATTTTAATTATTTTCGTTTTTTTTTATGGCAAGCCTTCCAGTTTGCCAGGGCTTGATTTGACACAGCGCCCCAGCTTCAACTTTAGTTTCATGTTTTGGATTAAGTTTTGTTCCAAATACCCAAATTTGGAACTGTCCAGGTTCTTCAGTCTGAAGGAATTTTGTCACTTCTGTTACTTAATCAGAATACCAAAACAATTTTTCTGTATCACTTTCATAGTAGAATGTTATAGGTCTGTGACAGCTTAGACTGGAGTTAAGAATGTACACTTTTTAGAATCTAGTTTTAATTTTCTTGACTTCCAATTCATTAATTCAAGACTGGAATTATGCAAATATATTGCTGTCGTCAAACTAGCTAGGAAGTGTATATATAACTGTACCCACCTCCTTCAAACATTCTGTTTTAACTACTGTACATTATATCTTTGGGGAAATACCCATAATAAATTAAGTGGTATTATTCAGAAGGGTTGCCAGTTACAACTGCATCTTTTGTTTTATTCATATTGTATCCTATTAGTACCAAGATTTCTTCTGAGAATGTAACAGATCAATATGTCTGTAACTCTGGCCTGTAACCCAATTACTATGCAAATGTCTCTGATAACTATTACAAATTAAATTTGTATTTCGTAGCTTCAGAGACTCATGGAAAAGGCTTTATTGTTATGCTTTCAGAGAAATATACTGTTTAGGATAAATTCAAAAGTATTTTGGGAATTAAAAAATACAAAATTAATCCTTAAAAGAGATCGTTGTGGGGAGACCAAAAAAGCTGGACACTTGGTATGCCAGAGGATTTATAAGGGTCCATAAAAGTCATTGTACAAGAAATTTATTCTAATAGCTTTGGATGCTCAATCCGTGTAATAGTCCAGTCTGCCTTCACTCCTTGTGTAAATTCCCTTCGGAACCTAGGAAAAGCAGCACAAATAAGTTGTTAAAGCTCACGTAATCCTTTAAAGAGCTCCTAATGCTATTGAGAAAACTTGGCAAAATACTCTCCTTAGTTATTCTGTTATCATTTTCTCTATCTCTTCCCTCGTCCTTTGACCTTATGAAAGCCAGGTGTTTTATAAGAGATCATTAGATGCCACAGCTCAGTCCCCATATGGAGAATTGTGACATCAAAGCTATTTCTGCAACAAGAGAGTGATCCAAAGCCTACTGACGTCAACGGAAAGGCTTTCCTGACTTCAGTTGGGCTTTGGCTCAGGCCAAGTGAGGAATAAAAACAACAACAAGAGCAGAGGAAGTCTTAAGTACCCCATTTTTTTTCATGCTAATACCCTCAAAATTCTAGAAAATGATCTATAGGAAAATTAGTTACTAAATTAAGGGTTTCATTTTTCCATGTGGCATCAGCAAATCAATATGGTGAACTAGGTACTTTTTATCCAGAGATATTTGGTTTAGGCATTAAAAAAAAAAATCACGGAATAATAAAGTTAGTAGATCTTTTTAGAGATTAGACCAGATATACCAAAAAAACTAAGCGTAGGATTGAATCCTTCTACACATTTGAATTCTACAGTTGTTTGAAAGAATGTTAACAGCCACCCCAAATTTTAAAAGCTTTCCCCCTTTAATGCTAGAACCTTTGAGCACCTGCATTTCCAAGTTGGTAAGGTTTTTTCATAGGTATTTTATGTGAAGCCTTCAGTTTCTAGAGTGTTAACACAGCATTTGTATGCCTAAATCACACACAGAACAGCAAGGGCAGCAGAAGTGTAATCCATATTATCCTTCAAGTGTGTTCCAATCCTGGCCTGGGCAGAACCATCCCTAGACACCTAGCTTTGATGGGTGATGGGTGCTTTGAAGTCTATCTACCCATTTGTTCCTTGACCTCTGAGGAGGGGCCAGAAAGCGTGCCAATTTCAGATGATTTATTTGGACACCTGGTCACTTGGAACTGAGACAACTCACAAGCTTTCCCCCAAGGAGTCAGGACCCTCAAAGAAAGCAGACAAGACTCTAAGATATGTGATAAATATGGTCAAGAGGTGAACATAGGTGCTCTTCAAGTGGTTTTTATTTGTATTTTCTCTGGACCTGGAGGCTGTGTAGTTTCTCCTCTCTGAGAAAGAGTTTAGAAGAGAGCCAGCCTATCATAACTTAGGCAAAAATATGCCATTTCCCCTCCACTTTTTACAGTTTTGAAGAATATTTTCAATGGTTTTGCCAAGACTGCAAATATTTTTTATCTCTCAGACATTAGCACATTTTATAACCAGTGTTTTATATGCACATTCCTATGAAAATACATCCACTTGACCAGTGAGCACTCAGAGGATTTAGATCAGATCTATGTGAATTATTCAAAACACCAGATGATGTTTGCGTTGTTCTAACTTGCTTCAGAAAGCGTTCAGTTAAATCTTTCATCTTCTCAAGCCAACTGCAATGCTGACTCCTTTGCAGGAGGGTGGTGTTACAGCAACAGCACAAAGCAGGCTGATTGGCTTGGCAGCACTCTTTGATTTGGTACACAAAACTGGGACTGAGGACTGACATGGGCCTCTTTCCAAAAAGGGGGGGGATAAGGAGGGATCAGAAAGTTTGCGACATGCTAGTAGATTCATAGAGTGTAGTAGCATTAGTCTGAAGTTAAGAAACAAAGCTGTAATGTGACAACCTTAAGGTGATTTTGTTTTAAAAAACCTCACACCCCAAGAGTTGCTCCCCAGAATAAAAGTTGCATTGAATGAGGAAACTCTTATGCTGAAGGCCAAGATAAGTACAACCAGAAGGAAAAAAAGAGATAGGGAGACTTACTCATAGTTTGCTGTTAGAAGACGTTTAGTTTCTTTCACAGTTTCATCTCCAAATACAATCTGGAAAACTTTGGTTCCATCTGGAGCCTCATCAGGGAGGTCAGTGCTAGTTAGATACCAGAAGCGCATCAGGATACTAACAAACTTTCTTCCTGTTAGAAAGAAAACTAAGCCATAAGACAACATTCAGGAATTTTGCATATACCTCAGCAGTCTAATATTTTTTACTTGCAAGCCACTAAGCATTTTACTAAAACTCTAAAGAAGCAAGTGGCTACAACCTAAGAGGAAGCACAAAAGAAGAAGGAAAAGAAAGTGATACTTAAAGTAATTCACCCTAAAGCCATCTTCATAAGGTTTGGCAGGAGTAAAAACAAAACATCATACTTTCTATAGAGAGGTGTGTAAGTCAGCAGGAGTTATTCCTGTCACTATATATGATCACATTATATGGAAGGTTGGCATATTCCATATTATAGAATGACCATTATTGTGACTGAAAAGATACTTAGGGTGACAGGGAATGAGATGTGGAGAAGTAGGATTATTAAAACAATAGAATAAGAGAAGTTCAACGTATTAGATAGCCTGAAATAAAGAGGTATGGATGGATGAGACCAAGGTTAGGTTCAGAAAAAGAAGCATCTCAGCTGTATTTTGTAATGAGCCAAGCACACATTGTTGGCATTTAACAAAATAAAGCAGACAGTTGCTAGTTTAAAAAATAATATAATAATATTATCTATATCTCTATATCTATCAAGGTGTCCTGGAGCCATGTGGAGAAACTGTCACACAGTGTGGTATGAGATTATTCCCACTCCACTTCTCTATGCTAAATATGCTCAGCCAGCATGGGGGGAAATTATGCCTATGCTGCTGCTCCAGCATACAGCACTTAGCGGTACAATAGGAAAGCAGTAAAGAGTGACTCAGACCATGTCCATTTCATGCTGCAGCTGCTGCATCCACACCACCACCACAGAAGCAAACTTTCAGGAGGCAATAGGTAGGAATGGAACAGACAGGACGGGAGACAGACAATGAAGGGGAACGAATTACAAAGTCAGTTGCAACATGAAGACTGAAAAATTCAGAGGTTTTGCAGATAAACTTTAAAAATTGGTCTTCAATTTGATCCCTCATTTTCCATGCCAGCAGGAGTTTGGAGCACTGCAGAGGCAGTGCTCAGCCCACATGGGAAAAGACAGACCGTACGTCACCTTTCTGGCTCGGGCTGACAGAAGCAGCAGCACTAACAAGCGCCAAAGAAAGTCATATCCAGCCATTCTCCATCAGAAGAATGTCTGCCACAAGGCAAGATTTTTGGCAGGAGCATAGGGTGGGGAGAAGAGGGGGAATAAAAGAAAGGAGAGAGACCAGAAGAAGAAAAGAATCTATAAGAGAAGGGGCAGGAGTACACACGTTGGGAGTCATTATGTTTTTATAGCACATACAACACTTTAAGGCCTAGCACTCTGCATACAGTAACCTGTGAGGGGACTTTTTTTTTTTCCCTGAGAAGTGAGTAGGGAGAAATGAATGGAAAGTGTATAAAATCCCTGTGAAGGAGAATAAGAAAAATTTGAACAGGCATCAAGGTGGTATAATGACTCATACTACTAATGATAGTTTATAGTGAGATAAAATAAGTACATAAAGAGAGATCTTTAAACATTACTTCTAGGAATGAGAAATAGGACTCATTACCACCTTTGTAATTAGAAAAGCTGTAAAAAGCAAAACCATGACAACAGGTTCGCTATCTATGCTAGGTGAATGTTTTAGAATTCTATACATACCACTGTCATCGTAGTAAATACCAACATCTCCTGGTGTTGTATACATTATTTCATCCATGTCAGCAGCCAGGGCATTCCTGTGGTTTTCAGACAATGAAGAAAGCTTCTCCTCCAACACCTGAAGTACCTGAATTTAGAGAAATTGTAGCTACAGTTCACTAGATAATTGAAACCACTGATCTTGTAAACTCCATAACAATCCAGTATTACCCCAATACATATACTGAAGTATTTCTAATCCACATCGCTGTAAGATAGTCTATTAAAACAGAAATATTGTTCAGCCAAAATATATCTATCTATCTATCTCCCATAGTATTTCCTTCTGTCTGAAGAATGGTTAAATGTAAAAAGTTACATCAACGCAACATTTAAATCCACAAGAGTCAGGACATGAAAAAGAATTAAAACACTCACAGTAACTTTAACTTAAATGTATCCTGTGCAATGTGTGTTAACACTCAAACTAATTAAGACAGAATATCCAAATTCTACACAAAAAGCTACATCTGAAGAACATTAACATTGCAAAGTCAGAAAGCATCAGTTAAGGTTTTCCTCAAAACCTAAACTCTGCTCCCCCCCTTCCATTTAAACTTCTCTCTGCTTCCTCTTATCTATATTTAAGTTTTGTACTACACATCACTGTGGTATGAGAGTGTCCTTATCCTTTTATACATTACAATTGTCTCTATAATTCTATATTAATTGCACTGGACCGTTGCCTCATTCAGTGCACAGGTCAGACAGGACAGTGGAACTTTGCCTTTTTTCTCTACACACCATCCTCCAAATTTGTTCACACTGCGATAGTGGCAAATTGAATTTGTCTTAAAACAAGTCCTGGATACACAGAGCCCAGGCCCCGTTCACAATTTTCCACACCACATTCACTGAGCACCATCCAACCTGCAAAAGATTATCATGCACTGAGCACCATCCAACCTGCAAAAGATTATCATGATGTTCACCAACCCAGGCATCAACAACAAGAAGTCTACTAGCTGGCCCTAACTGCAATCATTGTTTCACAGTTTCAGTCTGTGCCACCTTGGGTCACACATGGCTCCTAATAATTGCTTCCCTTTCTCCTCCTTTGTGGGGTGGCTCCCCATTTCTTCCCCCTCCTCTGATTGTGGGTGTCTTCCTTTTAGTACTGGTAGAGCTTCTATGAACACCTGCTGAACCCATGGAGTTTGGGGTGGGAGGAGGAAGGGAAGATGCTCTCTTTAAAGAGCTCACTAGGAACAAGCTCACATTTCACTGCTACCTCTACCCAGAAGCAGGAGGCAAGATGGTCCATTGGCACTACACCACAGTGGTATTAGAGTTCTCTTTCCATAGGCACGAGAGGCACCAGGCAGCCCAAGCTACTGGCATACAGTAACACAAACATACACCTGAAGCAGCTCCCTCATGAGACTCTTCTGGATCTGACACCCCTCTCCAGAGGTGACCACGAAAACAGTCCCAGTGGTTCAAAATTCACACTGACAACTAACACTGGTCAATTTGGCTATATCCTTGAGGCCATGATGCAAGATCGAGGTCTCCAGTTTAGGACTAGGTAGCTAAGTGGCAGTGTGACCTACATGGGATGGGAACCAGTTAAGACTGGGGGATGTACAAGAAATGAATTATCCATTGGGCAGGTCTATGTTGCTCACCTAAAGTTTTGGCACCAGTGAATGGTACTGGTGGTCACAGTAGGAACTTCTACTCACTTGCCCCATGTGAATAGAAGTTTGCAAGTCTGCCCCTGTTATCCACCCTCTTCTGCAATGATTATATTTTTTAATCCTTTTTTGATGACTCACCGGACTCTTCTGGCAGCTGCTCCATTGTCCTAATGGTAAAAGCAATTGGACAATTTTCCTTAATACAGTAACTGATCATGCCCTTACAGATAAGCTTGTCTGTCCTCCGACTAATATTCTCCTGATCTTTATTGAGAAGTTCTTCCCCAGTTGGTACTATTTGTGTTTATTAACAAGCTAAACTTCACTTTAGATGACTGAGAACCCATTGGCAGATTAAAGGGTGAGACAGAGAAATATTTTTCATTCTGTGTTCGAGATTTTAGAAAAGAAATAAAATACTCTTTACCTCTTTTGATACAAATTCCTCCATCTGATCAAGTTTACACTGAGAAAGCAGCTTTGAAACAAGAGCAAAGGCCTACAAAACATAAAAATACATGAGCAAACATTCCACTAACTCCAGGTCAGCTCATTTTCCAGTAATCAGAGAATCAGACATTAGATATAGAAAAAGACTCATTCGATCATCTAGTTCATCACATTGGTAGGGGAGGATTGTTGCCTCCAGTATATTTTCTAGTGTCTGCTTCCATCTAGTTTTAGGGAATCCATCTACTGGGACCATGGCCACTTTGCTTACAAAATTACTCCAGACCAAAATAGATTTTTTTCCTGATGTTTACCTTACGCTTTCCCCATTCTTAGTCTTTATCCCCTTATACCACCCTGTACAATCTCTCTCCATTCTACAATGTGACAGCTTACATGTACATGAAAGGTGTGAATGCTTTCTCAGTATTCACACCACTCATGAGTATCGACCTTTTACACATCAACAAAGGCATAGTATAATTGCCCTCCCATAAAGTTAGACTAGTTTCTACTGTCCTTCCCTAGAAGCAGCTGGAAATGGCCTTCTCCACACTATCTTTCTATTGTGACTGTGGAAAAGCTATGCTGAAGTAGCAAGTTTTATTCTTTGCTCTGAAAACAGCAAAGTCTGAGTGTTCTCACTTCCTCCAGAAAAGTGGCAAAGCCTTGGGCCGTCTGCCAAGAAAACCATCTCCCCATCTCATACATGACAGCTTCACTTTTCCTACAAAACATAACTGTCAATGGAGATCTATATCTTGGGTCCATTCCACAGGCCTTAAAGCTGAGACTTGAATATGACCTGTATTCTATGGGAAAGCCAGTACGGTGAGCAGCGGACCAGGGTGATGTGCTGTTGCTGATTTTTTTTCGCTGTGGAAACATGGTGCTGCATTCTGGACCAACTGAGGCCAGGGAATACAGGGAAATGCAGTAGTCAAGTCTTCAGGTCACAAGGGCACGAATCACTGTGGACAAATCATTCTGCAGCAGTATGGGGTACATGCAGAAAAAAGCACTTTTAGCAGCCATTGCTATCCAAGTATCCAGCAGCAAGGAGTTCAGTAGAAAAGAGAGGCTATGAACCAGCTTGAGTACTTGAGAGCAGGCTCAATCAAAACAGTGATGCTACAGTGGTAGTTAGATCTTTACGATGACATATCCATCTTCCTTGGGTTCAACTTCAGCCAACTGTTTTTCATCCACATGCTGATCTCAGCTAGACAACCAGAAAGCTGAGAGATGGTTCAGTTGGCATCGGAAGTAAATGAGATATGGGGTCATCTGTGTGCTTGTGGAACTTGAGTCATCACACAGTGGCTTCATGCAGATGTTAAGTAGGATGAGGAAAGAACAGAGTTCTGTGGAACTGCACAACCGAGTACTCTGATGGCAGAGGAACATTCGTCCAGCACTACTCAGGGTGCAGCCTGAAAGGAAGGATTGGAGCCATCTCAGTGCTTTCCTTTTTACTGTTTCTATATCTTTAAAGTGGGAGAGAAGTGTGTGATCAACAGAGCTGGATTAAGACAATCTGACGTCCTAGGTAAACCCCACATGGCCCTGCCTCTGCTTGAGGGGTCGTCACAGTCTCCCACCCAACACAGACACAAGGTATCTGTGAGGGGCCACTACCTCTCCTGTTTGGAGGAATGAAGCCTCCCCTGAAACTACCTATGCCAATGGTTTTCAAACTGCGGGTCACGACCCACTACGGGGTCGTGGAATGTAAGGCACTGGGTCATGGTGGCTCTGGTCAGCATCATCAACCAGGCCATTAAAAGTCCCGTTGGTGGTGCTGCCTGGCTAAGGCAGGCTAGTCCCTACTTGTCCTGGCTTCTCGCTGCACCCCAGAAGTGGCCAGCAGCAGGTCTGGCTCCTAGGCAGGGGGGCCACGGGGCTCCACGCACTGCCCCTGCCCCAAACACTGGCTCCACACTCCCATTTGCCAAGAACCGGCCAATGGGAGCTGGAGGGGGAGCGGTGCTTGTGGGCAAGAGCCGCACAGAGCCGCTTGTGTACCTCCGCCTAGGAGCTGGACCTTTTCTGGGGCGCAGCATGGTCCGTGGTGCCAGGAGAGGCAGGAAGCCTGCTTTAGCACCCCTGCTGCACAGCTGACTGGGAGCCACCCGAGGTAGTCCCGCGCCCCAATCCCCTGCACACCCCCCAAACCCAGAGCCCCCTCCTGCACTCCAAATTCCTCATCCCCAGCCCAGAGTCCTGACCCCCTCCCACACCCCCAACCCTCTACCCCAGCCCAGAGCCCCCTCCCACACCCCAAACCCTTCATCCCTAGCTCCGTTGGGTCGTGGGCATCAACAATTTTCGTCAACTGGGTTGCCAGAAAAAAAGTTTGAAAACTACTGACCTATGCCATACCAGAAGGAGGAGTAGTCAGCCACCACCTACCTAAATGGGTGGAGGGATGTGTGGGGAGCTCCTCCTGACACCACCCAAACAGAGCCATAAGAAGGAGGCAGAAGCAAAGGCTACCCCCATCTAAGTCTTCTGCTGAGGTGCCGTCACTGGGGGGGGGGGGGGGGGGGGGCGTCTCAGAGAAGCAAGTTGCAGAGTTAGCATAATGAGAAAGTGGGCACATGACATTCACAGAGCTATTGTTGCAGGCTGTCGGCAGACAGCAGTTAAATTTAGGCCCCATGTTTTCAAGGTTTTCTTCACAACCATAAAAAATAGAAAAAAGATTAAAAAAATTAAGTGTGAAAACTGAGATTCTATCATCATGCAATTCCAGGATCTGGAACAATACGGATGTGACTATGCCCTAAATCCAGCCTCAGTGATCAATGGTACCAAGTACCAGGAGAGATCCAAAATGATATATAATTCCCATTCTCTCAGTCATTTTAGCTAAACTAGTTTCTGTTGCTCTGCTCTGAGCACCCTCCATTTTATCAGTACCGTTCCAGTAAATGTGGCACCTAGAACTAGGGTTTCCAATTTTGGTTGGACATATTCCTGGAGGTTTCATTTTATGACATAATATTTAATTAAAGATTAATCTTCAATTCCCGGAGACAATCCTGGAGGGCTGGCAACCCTACCCAGAACTTGAAAGCAACATTCAAAGTGCTGCTGCAATAAGAATCATACTGAATGGCCTCCTTGCCTCCCTGCTCTGCGACTGGATGCCTCTGCAGCCTGAAATTTGTCTTTTCCGTTGCCAAATTACACTGGAGCCTACTATGGCGTGCTGCATTTATGCCTAATACTGCATCACTCTCACAGATGTTTTGCAACTGTTTTAATCACTTACAATACACAGGAAAGCCTGTCAAATTTTGACTCCTCCTTTAAGGGGATAAACCACAATTTATATGGTGTCACTGTCACAGCAATAATATCCCTCCCACAGGGGTCTCACTACTGGGACAATATGAACACACAGTCCACCCCAGTTGAACAAAATATCTGTCCCCAGAGCCAATGGGCAGCAGTATTTAGCGGAGAAAGGAGGAAAGAGAGAGCTCAGCAGGAAGAGAAGAAGCAGAGGGGAGTAGGTAGGAAGCAGTGAGGAATAAGGTCCAGGGTGGCCAGGTATGCCAAAGGGAAGAGTGGGGGTGGGCCCCATAATGGAGGTGACAGGAAGGAGGTAAAAAGAAAAGGAGTACTTGTGGCACCTTAGAGACTAACCAATTTATTTGAGCATGAGCTTTGCTCAAATAAATTGGTTAGTCTCTAAGGTGCCACAAGTACTCCTTTTCTTTTTGCGAATACAGACTAACACGGCTGTTCCTCTGAAACCTGTCAGGAAGGAGGTAAGGGGTTTCACTGCATACACAGTGTGTGTGGGGAAGGGCTCCTTGCATGATCGCACACAGGTCAAGGCGGTGAACAGGCCTCCCCGCCTACATAACTGGGGCACACGGGGAGTCCCAGGCAAGGGTAAGGGGGGGGATAACGGACCACCCTCCTACAGAGCCCCACAGACACAGCGGCGGGGGCGGGGGGGTAACGGCCCCCACACACAGACGCGGGGGCGGGGGGGTAACGGCCCCCACACACAGACGCGGGGGCGGGGGGGTAACGGCCCCCCCGACACATTGGTTGGAGACGCGGCGGCCCCGCAGTCACCTGCTTGGCCCCCTGGGTGAACTCCTCGACGCTGAACTCCTGGTCGAAGTAGGCCCGGATGAGGAAGCAGTAGAGTCTGGTGCGGACCCAGATGAAGGGGTTGGGGATCCCCACCACCACCACGCTCCGGCCGCCGCCCGCCCCCGGCGGTCCCCGCCGCCGGCTCGGCTCGCCGCTGGCGCAGAAGCGCGCGGGGGGCCGGGCGCCGGTCAGGGCAGCCGGGCCCCGCGGCTCCAGCTCGGCCCGGCCGGGTCTGACAGTCGCCGCCAGGAGGTGAGCGGAGAAGGCGCGGACCGGCCCAGGGCAGCGCCGGAGCCTGCCGGGCAGCGCCATCTTAGCGAGCCGCCCCGCCCCGCGCCGCGCCGCGCCGCTTGGTGCGCGGGGAAAGGGGCCTGCCTGGGAAACGGGCCAGATCAAGCCGGGCGCCCCGCGTGCTCCGGCCCTCCCGGAAGGACCGCTCCCTGGCGGGAGGCAGGCCCCGAGCGCCCCTTGCTGGTGAGACCCCTCGGAGGATCGGGTCCCAGCCCGGGGGCAAACGGAGCTTCCCTCCCCCTGGAGACTTGGCGGCCGGAGCAGCGGGGCGGGCGAGCCCTTGTTTCCCGGGGGAGCGTGTGACTGAGGCGCAGCCGGCCGGGGTGGGCAGCCGCCATGGCGCAGCCGACGGGCCCCGTGGCCCGGCTCAGCGGGATCAGCAGGGAGCGCTTTCGGCAGGACATTTACCCGCTGGTGAGGCCCGGGGTATGCTCGGGGCGGGACCCTGCCTGGCCCGCGCCCCTGGGTGCCAGAGGCCCCCTACTCGGGGCGGGCGCTGCACCCGGCCTGCGGCTGCTCCCTCGCAGCGGCCTGACTTCCCGCTCCGCGCTGGAGATTGCGGGGCTGCCCAGGTGCTGGGGTCCCCTCAGAGCCGGGGGCGGGGGCTGTACCTCCTCCCTCCCGGCAGCTCGCCTCTCCTGTCCCGGTATGTCACACTGTTCAGTGCCCTGCGTCTCCCCTCAGACCCTGGCCGCTGCCGGCCCTTCGCAGTCCCCGCTGCTGGTCTCGGCAGCCCCAGCAGTTTATCCACTTGAAACACTCTGTAAAACCGACCCTGTGCTGCCCCCGACACCCTCCCGAGAGCGAGAGAGACCAGAGCAGACCCCCAGTTCTCTTCACTGAGACCAAAATGAGCGTGAGAGATTTAGCTGGTCTGTGGAAATCCAAGATTGACGTTGGACCCCTTTATCCTTCCTCCTTGACTTTAGAGCCTCTTCCTGTCCCCTTTACAGCAGCTGTCTGTCTCTTTTGACAAAATACATAATTTTTTGATCCGAGATTTTTGGAACTTGAAGAATATTGAAGCCCAGACCTTAACACCTGTTGTTTCTGGGTTTACTGTTTTAACACAGTTGGACCCCAGAAAGAGAAAGAAAACAACAAATAGGACAAAAATCTAAAAATAACAGAAGTTTTAACAACTGAAAGGAAGAGTGTACAAGTTGCCTTTCTAAATGATTCTTTAAAAAGAATGTAAACCAGAATGTCACTTTTATGTAATGCCTATTTTTATAATTAAACAAAATAATGAAGATGCATCAGAGACTGTGAAGTGTGTTACTTGTGTGGTATGTCCGTTTCTAAAAAGGGTTGTGATATTTTACAGATTCACTTACTGAATGGTATCCATTTGACAAAAAAAATGGCTTGTGTTTCTAAACAGAGATGTTGTGTTGAGAATAGATGGGAAAAGGAGAAGCTGCAGCCTAATTAGAAAAAAGGGACATACTAAGTATTTTTGTTCATATTATTTAACAGTGATGTGCCTGTTCATATAAAATGTTTTCCTGGTAGTGGGATAAGTGAAAAATACTGGTGAGGGACAGGTCCCATTAAATGAAGTTGCTGGCATAGATCTGGAGGAACTGGAACAACAGTCCATCACCTGGCCTGGCACAAGAAGACTGGGGAGTCTCCCTCACTAGGCTAAAGAGGCTAAAGCACTGATCCCACAATGAGCTCCATGCATACAGATTCTGCACAAAGCTCTGTTGTCTTTGGATGCTCAGTGGGGGCACAGGGCTTTGTGCACATAGAGCTCAATGCAGGATCAGGACCAAGCTGGAGTATGATATGGAGTAATGTCTTCTTTTAACCTATCCTCATAACAATTCCAGTTTGCTTATATAATGGTTGCATGGTTGTCATCCTGAAAGTACACTGCTCACTTTTCTGCCAGCTGGAATGTGATGCAGTGATGAGCTCAGTCCTGGATGCCTATGTGTCAACTCCTACTGACACAAGTGGGATTCTAATTAGTTAAAATTGGGGTATAGTTTGTGTTTGTTTGTTGTTATAGCTACTGATGTAAGCCTGTCTGTTACTCCCTTGGAGTTTGGCTTGAAAATAAAAGGGGATAATTAACCTCATGTGTTCATCCATCAAGCATGTTACATTAAAACCAGAAACTCATGAGGGCCATGAGCCAGCTCCACTCTGCTTGATCTAAAAAGGTATTACAGAACTGAGTTTGTAAAGACTACATATGTAAACAAACTTCCCCAAACCCACTATTTATAAACAGATTCAGCAAATGAGAGGAAACAGTTTGGGACAATTTGTACTAATCTGGTGGTTTGGTTCCTTAGGACTTTACTGTAACTCCACCGGTCTGGTCTTTTGTGTCTTTGCAGAGAGGCTCAGTGGAGTGAACATTGGGCTGGGAGCAAGAAATTGCTGCTTTCTAATTTTATTCTGTCCCTGACATACCTCTGTGTCCCAAACCCCTAATCTCTCCCTTGTTCAGTTTCCCTGACAGTAAAAGGTGATGATGATAACTTTTATCTCATAGGATTAGTTAAAGATTAGTTAAAGTTTGGGCAGTGCTTTGAAAATATACAATGTTGCCGTGAGTGTGAAGTGTTCTTGTAATTGTCACTGACCCCTTGCTCTGAAAGGTCCTGATCCAAAACCAACTGAAATAAACAAGTCTTTCCATTGTTTTTAATGGACATTAGATCGTTGTTTGTGCTCTGCCAGCATAAAGAGGACTTAGCATGAGTGGAAACATCTCCTTGTATAGAGGGCATCCATGGCCAGTGTTAGAACTGGTGTAATATTGCCCCTTGCCCCAATATCTGGGTCAAGGATGTGGACTGGGGGCATAGCCAAAGTGCACTTCCCTACAGCTGTGCTCTACTAAGCCTTTTGAAGAAGAGCTGAAGTTATATCAGGGCCTTGCCAAATCCTTCCATGGCTCCAGAATATGGTGAATGCCAATGTTGGTTAAAGAACCTTTTCTCACACTCCATTCCTGCCACAAGTAAAGGAGTATAATAACTGAGAATAAGGCCCATGATTTCCTGGATTTTGTTTTCACACTCAGTGCACAAACTCATGGAGCCTTCTGGCTAATGTGCAACAGGTGTACCTATTCAATTGATTTGTTCTTGTACTGTACTTGACAAATTAGTCCTGAATCTTTTTGTTGGATTCTATTACCAATTCAGTGACAACATTCCATGCCATGCCATAAACCTGCTTTTGTTTACTTCTCAGAGAAAGCCAGCAGTGCTGAAAGGAATAGACTTGGGCACTTGCACAACCAAATGGACAGTGGATTACCTCAGCCAAACAGCAGGATCTAAAGAAGTAAAGATTCATGTTTCCACAGTGCCACAGATGGACTTCCTCAGTAAGAACTTTGTATATAGGTACTTTATTCCAAGGCTTCCTCTATTTTAAAGGGACATATTGGTAACTTTTAGAAACATTCTACATTGCTTTGAAGTATACAAAGTATACTCTTCTATGTTGCCTGGCTCTGTTGGTGTTACCGTTCAGCAAGTTGGTGCTCTCTTGCTTTTTGTAAACTTATTAATGGTAATTACTGTGTATATTGCTATTTACTGTATTAACTAGATATGTTATAGAGCTTCTCTTTCTAGAGAGATGCTTTTGAATTCAGGTGCCATTGTCTGAAAGGTATTTTTTTTAAATTTAAAAAGGTAAAGATATTTCAGTACTAGAAGAAATATTTCATCACAGTTTTGTCCTACAGCTATGGCTTTGGCATTCATGGGTGTGTCATTATTCTCTTTCTTTTCTTTTTCTTTTTCTTTTTTTGGCCCAGTCCCAGATAGCAATTTTTTAACATGCCTTTACTGTTCATGAAGGATGTTAGAATGACCAAGCTTTGAAAACTTGAGCTTGAATTCACGGGTGAGGTACAGTATAGGCTGTGGAAAATCAGATTTTCCCACATACTCCTGTCAGTACACCCCACTCCTAACAGCAGAGAGGAGTTTTAAGAGTATTTGGGCGAAGACAATGAGGTGGTTCTGCAGATACTTGTAGGGAGCGCCTCCCATGCATAAGGGGCAGCATGGGAAGAACTTCAAAGATGTTTGTTTGGAAAAATTTTAAAATGGGCGATGAAGACTGGTCATTTGCAGAATGAATGTAGGAGTCAATGTCACGATACTGTATAAGAGTTGATAAGTAGCACATGGATAGACTGTGAAGGGCATAAAAGTGAAGATAAGTGGTCTGTTTTTGAAGTAGTGAAGATGAAGAAGTTAGTGGGGGAGTTTGAGAGAAACTCTCAGTTTGTGACTTGGAGTCTGCTGCAACAAGAACTTTGAAACTAGGCATGTCATTCTGATTCTCTGATACTTGATGATTATATTGTTTGAAGCTAGTGCTGCTCAGTACCTGAAATGCTTTGAATGCTGGTATGTTACAGATGTGCTAGTTCAGTGGTTCTGAAACTTTTGTACTGGTGACTCCTTTTACATAGCAAGCCTTTGAGTGAGACCTCCCCTTTATTAATTAAAAACACTTTTTTTATATTTAACACCATTATAAATGCTGGAGTCAAAGCGGGGTTTGGGGTGGAGTCTGACAGCTCGCAACCCCCCCATGTAATAACCTCGTGACCCCTTTAGGATTCCCGACCCCCAGTTTGAGAACCCCTGTGCTAGTTCAATGCTAGTTGGTTTAGTTGGTGTTGGTCCTGCTGTGAGCAGAGGATTGGACTAGATGACCTCCTGAGGTCTCTTCTAACCCTAATATTCTATGAATCAACAGAATTACGCTGGAGGGATGTCAGCAATTAAAAAACAATCAACTTCAAAGTTTAGGGCATGTGCAGTTTCTAGTGTCCTCAAAATACAGACTATCACACATTTCACCAGCCCTTCAGTCTGGAGACAAGTCACGCAGAATGTCTAATGTCCTAAGAAGTTCCTCATTAGATTTGTCCATGTCCTGTAGTTTGCCAAAACATTCTTCAGAGTCTAATGCATCTTAGCCATTTTGTTGTTGTTCTGCAATGGTAAAGTCTTCATTTCAACTGTCGTTTGCTTTCCCCAAGTGTGAACAAGATGTGTTCAATCATTTATTATTTTAATAAAGTTTAAGAAAACAGACATACGTGCTGGAATCAAATGTTCTACAGTCTATAATGAGTGAACCCTGGTGTCACAGTCAGTACACTCTTTATTCACAGCTGGTTGAACCATTGAACATTTTGAAACTATTTTTTGGACTGCAAATAAAATTCTGTCATACATCTTTGCCTCATATATATTGTTTAGTGTTTATCTCACTGTCTGGGGAAAAAATGAAACACAAAAAGGCATATAAAAGGGATATGCAATTATGTATCCTTGCATTTTCCTTCTAAGGGTCTGATTCTGCAGGCCCTAATGCACTTTACTAATGTTATGTGTGTAAGTAGTTTTATTTAATTCAGTGGTGATATTTCACATGCATAAATGTGCTCAGGTGTGTTAGGATTTGCAGATTAGGGGCTAAATTTGCATTTTTGTATATGGCAGTATGGTGATGCTCTCTAAATACCTGGTCTTGAGAGTTGCTAAGTATTTGTGACTTTCACCACTTCTAGAGGACTTGGGGAACTCAGAACCTCTCTGAAGCAGGCTATGTATTTATATCTGTGGGGAAAATAAATAAAATTACTACAAGAATAAAAACTCTCTAGTACAAAGACTTAGACATCATTATGGCCAGCTAAGGACCTGATCCAGACGTACGCTGAGCACAAGCAACTCATATTGCTTTCAGTGGCAGATGTAGTTGTTCAGGCTCTGGGGTCTGATCCACTTCCATTAGTGTCCATAGGATTCTCTCCATTGACTCCAGAAGCTGCTGGATCAAGCTTATAAAAACGTCTTCTGTATTTTCCACAGTATGCATCCAATGAAGTGAGCTGTAGCTCACGAAAGCTTATGCTCAAATAAATTGGTTAGTCTCTAAGGTGCCACAAGTACTCCTTTTCTTTTTACAAATACAGACTAACGCAGCTGTTACTCTGAAACCTAACATAGAAATTGTGTATTGTCAGGGAAATGGTCCATGTAGTCCTATATTTGACAATGACTACTACCAGAAATTTCAGAGGAAGATGTAAACCCCCTGTAATGGATAACTTTGCCTATGGGGAAACTTTCTTCCTAACATTGGGCATTTAATTGTTGTTATGTTCTGTGAAGCATGAAATAAATTGCTATATGCAGCATGGATATTAGCCAGTACCAGCTAGGTGATTTGAGTGATCTTCACAGCTTGGGAAAAAAAAATCTTTCCTGATGAATGAGAAATTCAGGATATTTAACAATAGTTAGACTGACTCCTGAGAAGTGTGCATCATATTTTTCATTGTCTAATTTGAATCTTATGGTAAATAATATGTTTGTATTAGGTTCTAGTTACTATTTTTGTATGTACGTTTATTTGTTTGTTTGTTTTTTACCCCTACCCTCTTGCTGTTTAAAAAAATCAAAAATTAAATTGTGCTGGGGTGGAAATCAAACTAGCTGGTGCTGATAGATGCTATAAGCATTAGTAACCACCATAAAATAATCCATTTGTACTTGTGATGTTGCACTCCATAGGCTTTATGCAAATATGCTTATGATATAACTGGAATATGCTTTACTCTAAATACCCCATGTTTTGTGTCATTAGAAAGCTAGTAATCTACTAACTGTTTTCATCGTATTTGTTGTCATATATTATTTCTACATCTGGAGTTAGGAGAATAAGATATAAACTTGTATCACTGATGTAAACATATTAAGTAGAGACCATTAAGGGTGCTCCAGAAACAATTAGTTGTAAATGGCCTTAGTTACTTGAAAGTCTTCCTGTGTATGTGTGGGCCAGCCCATGGGGAATGGAGACTAGGGGTCTTACAGTGACATGTGACCATGTCACCTGATAATGAAATCCATCTTAAATCTGGTACTTTTCCATTTAGAAGGAGGGGTGGGGACCCAGAGACACAAAAGATTCCCGCCTTGTGCCAAAGCTATAAAAGGGGATGGAGCAGGACAAAAGGGGCTTCCAGTCATGAGAGAGCCTCTGCTTACCACCTGAGATGTTGGCTGGAACTAACAAGGACTGTACCAGGGGAAAGGATTGGGCCCAGACTAGGAAGGAGTATAGTCTGTGAAAGAAGCTTATTGGAACATCTCTGAGGGTGAGATATTACCTGTAATCAGTTTCTTAATGTATTAGACTTAGACTTGCATGGTTTTGCTTTATTTTGCTTGGTGACTTACTTTGTACTGTCTGTTATTACTTGAAACCACTTAAACCCTACTTTTTATACTTAATAAAATCACTTTTGTTTATTAATGAACCTAGAGTAAGTTATAAATACCTTGGGGAGCAAACAGCTGTGCATATCTCTCTATCAGTGTTATAGAGGGTGGACAATTTATGAGTTTACCCTGTATAAGCTTTATACAGAGTAAAATGGATTTATTTGGGGTTTGGATCCCATTGGGAACTGGGTCTGGGTGCTGAAGAGGTAACCTGCTGAGCTGTTTTTAGTTAAAGTCTTCAGCTTTTGGGGCGTGGCCCAGACCCTGAGTCTGTGTTGCAGCAGGCTAGTGTGTCTGGCTCAATGAGGCAGGGTTCTGGAGTCCCAAGCTGGCAGGGAAAATGGGCTCAGAGGTAATTTCAACACATCAGGTGACCGAACCTGTCACATTACTACATTCAATTGTTTTGCTCCAGTATCAAGCAGGCCAAATGCTACAATATCTGTTCAGGCAAAGGTCTACTGAAGACCAGATCTAAGAGACCTTTACTGTTTTATGCTTGTATTGACTCTGTACCAGGAGCAAACTTACCAAATATGTGTCTGTAGAAAGCATAATTTATTGCAGTATCTGCTAAAGTTGTTAAAGAATTTTAGGAGGATCTCCTCACCCTGTGAAATTGACAGTCATCTAGGGCTTGATTCTGCTCCCACTGACTTCAGTGGGTCTGGGCTTGGCATGTAGGCCCAGACCTTCAAAGGTACTTAAGCATCTAACTCCTGTTATTTCAGTGGAAGTTAGGCTTTTAAATACCTTTGAGGATTTGGGCCCTAATGATTTCTTTTTAATAGCAACTAATCTGAAGCTGTCCTCTCAGATGAAAAGCTAAAGTTCTTTCTTTTCCCCATAGAATCACTGAATGAAGCAACTTTAGGAGAATTAATTTAAAATACAGGAAGGTTGGGACAATCGTAAACATAGGTTTCACCTGAGGCAGCATATATAAAACACAGACCCATTTATTCAAAAAAATCAGCACAAACTATGACCCAGATTTTCACAAATGCTCATCACCTATAACTGGAATAATATTTGCAATGGAGCTTAGTTTAGACATTTATATTAAATGCCATATTTTCTAAAGAGCTTGGCACCCAGCTGCTCCCATTGAGCACAAGAGTTTGAGCACAACATTTTTGGATAGTGAACACTCTTGAAAATCTGATCCCAAATAATTATCTTTTTACAAGCTGACTTACAGCCAAAAATATTTGGATCTAGTGTAGGAACAATCTGGATAATAATGAAAGATTTTTACATATGATTTTTATCTTGGCAGTTATTTGACATCCTGTTGCAAACAATTGTTAGTCTGTATGATGATTTTTTAAAACAAATTAAATCATCTGTCCTGCTACATTGTTATAGGCCAGAGACATGAATTTGATCTGGTACTAAGTATTGTGTGTCCAGTAGTTAAATAATTCATTGTTACATTGATTAGCATTATGAATTTTTATATTTATATTTCAGAACATTGCCTTTTGATGTGTTTGTACGGAGAGCAGCTGAAGTCAAACATAACGAGTACTTTATATCTGAGGTAATTTCCTTAAAGTGTCACATCTTCTTTCATAAGTTATTTGGTCAATATATTGAGATTTGGTTTTAAAAAAAAATTATTATTATTTTTTTTTAGCATAGCACTTAACCTTAGAGTTAAGCATGGTTTGCTGGCTTGGAGCTCAAGAGTTAATCATTCCTCATGTCTGCTGTATAACTGACTACAGTAGGCTTGCTTGTGTGGCTAAAGACTACTTTATATGAGTAAAGGTTTCAAGATAAGGGACTAAGAAAACACATTATGTTTAAAATAGCAACTATATATGTGAGATATTTTAAAAGAAGTAAATACTCAAGTGTTTAGGTAAGCTATAGCAACTATCAGAGGCACAAATATAAAATACAGAAATGTTACAACATACTCATTGATTAAGTAATTAATAAGTAGATACCTTAACATAATTATGTCCAAAAATTGTTTGTGTGTTAATAGGAATTCACCCTCCCCCAAATAAATCTAGTTATAGAATGTTTATATGGGAATAGGAGCTGGGCTGCTCCAAATGATTTTTCAAATATTCCTTCCATCATTTATTTGTAACATGCAGTATGTTCTGAAATACATTGTTGTGATTTCCTGTGTCAGTGTTCTGAAGGGTTTAATTTCTACATATGCTCTATTACTGGATAGACTCAAAGCACTGTTGAAGTGGCTGACAGTTTGTGATCTAAGTCTCCATATGGAGCAACATGTGTTTTATACCCTTAGATCTTTCCCTGCCCCCTTGAATATGCCTGTTTCATTTAATTAGCATATAATTTTCACTTTCTTCCATTTCTTCAGGTAGCCAGCAGGGAGCAATAGAAGAAAGGGCAGGAGAGCAGAATAGCTGAATTTGTAAATAGAATTTAGTTGTACCAAATTTTAATGAGGCTCTTCATTAATCTAATGAGATGGTTAAAGCTCTATATGTGCTAATTCTTTGTTCTTGCTTTCTAATGATCAGTCTCGTTTGTGTTTGTGTTAAGGATGAGAAATACTACTTGCGATCACTGGGTGAAGACCCACGAAAGGTGAGTAACTTGGGACTGCGGGGCATGTGTTTCAGAGCAGCAGTTTAAAATCTTTAAGGGCCGTATTTCCTTTACACAAACAACCTATTTGTCTTGTAAATTAATTTAGGCCAGAAATTTTAAACATGAGTGCTTAAAGTTAGGCACGTAAATCCAAGCTTAGCTGGTCACCGAAGGACCAAGCCTCCATAAGAAGCTTTCTGGATGCCATACAGCTGCCATTATGATTCCTATGCCTCACCTCCCATCCCTCAGCCGTTGGTATAAAGAGATTGATCAGGAGAACGGTAGTGTAACTGGGGTGTCCTGATGATCCCTGGCTGAAGTAGCATCCCCTCAGGCTGTCCTAACTTATACTGGAGACAGGACCAGCACCCAGATGGCTGAAGATTCTGTGCAAAAGGCTCCCTTGTGTCCAAAACCCAGCATGCCAAGTGCTCCTTGGCTACAACTGAGGATCTAGCCCAGGGGTTCTCAAACTAGGGGTTGGGACCCCTCAGGGAGTCGCAAGGTTATTACATGGGGGGTCACGAGCTGTCAGCCTCTACCCCAAACCCCGCTTTGCCTCCAGCATTTATAATGGTGTTAAATATATAATAAAGTGTTTTTAATTTATAAGGGAGGGGTCGCACTCAGAGGCTAGCTATGTGAAAGGGGTCACCAGTACAAATGTTTGAGAACCACTGATCTAGCCTGTATGATTTAACACAGTGGTGAGCTAATCACCTGCTTTCACTTCAAATATATGATTTTATCGGGAACATTGAACTATATCCCTTTTGATTCAGGATATTGCAGATATCAGAAAGCAGTTTCCTTCATTAGCAGAAGATATTCAGATCCCAGAATATTTTGAAAAGGAACAGTTCTTCTCCAGTGTCTTCCGCATCAGCTCAGCAGGACTGCAACTCTGGACACACTATGATGTAGGCAAACAATCTTTTTGCCTTTGTTGACGAAATGTGGTGTGGCTCTCATTACAGGATTGGGGCACTAGGTTACAAGTCTTATAGGGGGTAGGGACCTGCTGGTGGGTAGAGAGGTGCCTTGCATACTTTTGGGTACTAGGTAAATAATAACTGACTTTAGGTATTGTATATTTTAAATATAGCTGCTATTCTAAGCACATTTTGGTTCTCAGTTTATTTCCCAGTCCTGAAACCCTTGCCTCATATGAGTAAAAATCGCAAGACTGGGTTTTTGGGTTTTTACTCATTGTTTTAAATAGCAGCCAAGAATTAAAAAACAAGCAAAAAACAACCTCTCAACATTGCTGGCTTCAGTGGAGGGTGAAGCTATGCAGTGCCTTGCAGAATTAGCTTATTTTGCTACTCTGCAAGACCCTTTTCTTGCTAATCTATGTGGTGGGTTTTCATGCTCTTCTGCTGTAGTTGATACCACATATATTTGTCTAGTAAGTACCACAATGTGATACCAGACAGGTTTAGATACAGGAATATTATGTTGTGTGGTTGAGCTAGTGCAAAACCCATTGCTGTTCATTAGTGTCAGGTCAACAAAATGAAGTAAGAAGGCTGTTTGAAAGATGGTAAAAGCAGTTCTAAATATATTCTGCCTTATGTTTTGCTTTGCTAGATAGTCAAGGCAGATAATTGCTTTGAATTTTTAACAATAAATCTTGTAAGTCCTAGTTTAAAGAAAGGAGAAAAAAAAGACAAGTAAAGGAGTTACTAAAAAGAAACATGGAGAGGCATTTTTTCCATTTATAATTAAGAAGTGCCAAAAATGTAAGATTAAGAGTGAAAATATATGTCATATGATTCAGATTTTCAGGGTAATTTGATATGGAGTAGCAATTTCTTTCTTTCTTTTTTAAACACACACACACACACACACACAAAGCTTTTAATATTGTCTTTGTTTTCAGACATATTTTAAATAACAGAATGATTATATGGAATATATATTTGCCCATTCTTCTTGTATAACATCTGTCTGCTATTTATGTTTGTAGCATACTCTTATATTTTCAGATAATGGATAACTTCTTAATCCAGATAACAGGAAAAAAAAGAGTTATACTGTACAATCCTCGAGACGCACCATATTTGTATTTAGCAGGTATGTTCTTGTCATACACATTTAATTGAATTTGGTGTTCTCAGTTCAGTTTCCAGTAGGCAAGTGTCCCATTTATGTATAAAAACCTCTGCCGTAATTGGCAACTCTGTTAGAAATCTCAGCAGAGAGGTGACATTGACTAACCTAATATTTCATTTCTAACAGTAATCACTCCAAGTTAGTGTTGAGGAACATTGCTGGGGTAATGCAGGGGAACTTGCAATCCTGGTGCCCATGCTCTAATTGTTCTGTGGATTAATAAAGCATTCTGGTTCTTAACTGCATAGGAATAGAGGGCTGTAACTAGGTTCTAATAGAGTTCTTCTACTGTTTCAGTGAAACTTAGCTTCGGTGGCTATTATGGTCAGTGAAAATTCTCTCTGGTATCAGTAGTATTGTAGTTATACTTGAAATGTGGCTACAGAATGCCACATTCAACCCTGGTGGAACTCAGTTGAAGTCAATGAAGTTCCACCAGGATTGAATTTGGCCCAATAATTGTTATACCCTAGAGTGTTGTGTTAACTTACATTGGCCAGTGTTAAAAGAATTTGTGAATGTTCATTATTTTGTTGAAACTTCTTTAGGCACTAAATCAGAGGTCTTAAATGTGGATAACCCAGACCTGGAGAAATATCCCCTTTTTATGAAAGCCAGGCGCTATGAATGTTCTCTTGAAGCAGGCGATGTGTTGTTCATTCCAGGTAAGTGACAAATCGCTCCGGCCCACATTATTTTTAATAGTTTTATTTTGTGAATCTTCATTTCCATGTGTGAATTATATATTTGTAACTCTCCGTGCAATTCTAATGTGTGACACTTTGCATATGACCAAAATTATACTCTTTTTTGACTTAATATGCATATATTTTAATAGCCTTATTCTATTAAAATCAATTTGTCCCTTCCCTGATCTGGCTTCTTTAGATTCAGAAGTGATGACAGAATTAGGACAGGGAATGGGCACTTTCTTCTTCTGTAGCTCTAATGTTTTCTCACTGCAGAAGTAAGAGGCAAATGACATAATGTGCATTAGGGATGGAACTGTTAAGTCCTTACATTTTTTTTATTACAAATTGTCAGTTTTGAAAATAAGGTCAGAATATTTTCTGTTCTAAGATGCTTCTAACTTTCTGCAACAGTAGCAAATATAAAACTGCTTGCTGTGCAAGGTGAGACAGCACCAGAGATTAGGAGCAGGCAGCTGAATTATTTCTGCTGGCCTACGCATCTTCTAACCGACCTCATCAGCAATTTGCAGGAGCAGAGCCTGACACTTGCTGAAGTATTTAAGAGGGAAGCAATGTAAAGGGCAATTCAAGTCTCTAGGCAATGAACAAAGAGTAATCTGTTAATTACAAGTGATCATTTTAAACCCTAATCCTGGAAACATTGATGCACATGCTTACCTTTGCTCACCTAAGTAGTCCTATTGAAGTTACTGGAACTCCTCACCTGCTTAAAGTTAAGCATATGTGTAAGTGTCTACAGGGTTGGGGCTTGGGCCTACAATCTGTGTGTGTTTTAATTGTAATTGTTGTGCAGTCCTAAGCAGTACCTAGGTCAGGGATATGGGGACAGGGGAGAATTAATATTATTTGTGGAACCATGAATTTTAACCACTTTATGAAAAAAGTGAATCTTATTTTATAATTCCCTGGCTTTCAGATGTGTTAAATAGACTATAGCATTCCAGTATTGTTTCTAGAAAGACATCATTGAAACAATTGCAAAGCCTTATCTGAACAAAAGTTTTGACTGCTAATAATCTTCAAGTGGAGGGTAGGAGAAGAATTCTCCATGAATAGAATTTAAAGTGATCTTATCCATATAATTTTGTGGGGTAGGGTTTAAGAGTTTATTTTGAGTTTTCAAGTCAGCTTTCTCAATTCTAATCTACAGACGTTAAGTCATACTTCTGGTATCAAATATTAGTTGAAGCAGCCGTGAGATAACTAACAAAAATTCACAGTGTAAGGAGAGCTATCTTTTATGATCTTGTAAACACTGTAGGAACCTTTGTGTTCTATCAGAATCTTCAGGATGATTATCAAACCGTGATAAAATTTGCTGTAAAATATTTTAAATTTGTCTTTTACATCTTTCTATTCAGAATAAGCAGGCTAATAGTAACAGTGTTTGTGACTAATCCTGGAATATTAAATTGGACAGGATAACATCATAATGAAGACAAAAACAACTTATTACCTTGGTATTAATTTTTTTATTATTAGCTATGATCCTGAGCACACATAAATATCTAGATCCTTTTCACTGATTCACATTCTTGGTGGGAAAACTGAGTATCACAATATAATTGTGGTTGGGGACAAAGGGGGATATGATAGTGGTCTATAAAATCATAAGTGGTGTGGAGAAGGTGAACAGGGAAGTGTTATTTACCACTTCACATAATACAAGAACCAAAAGTCACTCAATGAAAGTAATAAGCAACACGTTTAAAACGAAAAAGGAAGTACTTTTCCCCACAACACTTGGAACTTGTTTCCACGGGATGTTGTAAAGGCCAAACTTTACAACTGGGTTCACAAAAGAATTAGATAAATTCATGTGGGAGAAGTCCATCAGTGGCTATTAGCCAAGATGGCCAGGAACACAATCCCATACAGTACTGTGGATGTTCCTAAATCTCCGACTGCCAGAAACTGGGAGTGGATGGTGGGGATGGATCACTTGATAATTACCCTGTTCTGTTCATTCCCTCTGAAGCACTGGGCATTGGCTGGTGTTGGAAGACAGAAGGACCATTGATCTGACCCAGTACGGCCATTGTTAGTCTCTAAGGTGCCACAAGTACTCCTTTTCTTTTTGTGGATACAGACTAACACGGCTGCTGCAATGAGTGAAGTTACTCATGTACATAAGTGTTTGCAGGAATGGGGCCCTTAAAGATTTAGGGCTTAATCCTGCACTCTTTACTCATGCAAGTATTCCCATTCAAGGTAATGGGATAAATGACATGAATCAGGGACAAAGAATTAAGTCGGTTGACCCTGATCCAGCAAACACTTACCCACTTGCTTACCTTTTCAGTGGGAATATTCATGCATAAAGTTAAGCATGCTTATAAATATCTTCAGGATCAGGAACTCACTGTTTGATATGCTGTAGCATATGATGTAGTGAGTCAGAAGTACCTATACATAAGTGAATGTCAATGTTTATTTCTTATGCCAGTTACATTCAGTTTGAGATGGTTCAAACATCTTTGTTGTAAATGAAATCAAGTTTTAAATGGCAGTTTATCTTTTTAGACTTTTTTCTTCCTACAGCTTTATGGTTCCATAATGTAATTTCTGAAGAATTTGGAGTGGGAGTGAATGTCTTTTGGAAGCATCTTCCTTCTGAGTGCTATGATAAGACAGACACCTATGGAAACAAAGATCCTACAGCAGCTTCCAGAGCTGTACAGGTTTTGGACAGGGCTTTGAAAACACTGGAGGAACTGCCTGAGGAATATAGGGATTTTTATGCCCGAAGAATGGTTTTACGCATCCAGGAAAAAGCCTATAGCACTAACTATGAATAAACAGTCAACAAGTCAACCAAGCTCCTCTGAAAGTAGAGAGCAGTACAGATATGGATACTGTACCTGAAGACGCTTTGAGAAGATCAATAAAAACATTGTTTGTGGATGAATACTTATTTCATAATCCAAAGATGATGATGTTTTAATAGATCCCATTTCTACTAATCCATATGAAGTATAGTCTGTTTGATTCAGCTGTACAACAATAAGGGGTCAATTTAAAATTAATTATATATATATAAAATTAATTTTAAATTGACCCCTATATATATATATTCATATGCGCCCAAGTTTGTGTTATTTAGAACAATCATCTTGTTTCCTGGGGGTAGTTTACTTTCAAATAACTATTTCAGAAAATAAATATTCCTGAATAAGACCTAGGGCATTGGCAATTTAAATTCTGTTTTAGATCCTGGTATCTTCTTCAGGGTGCTGTTGAAAAGAAAGTTCCAGCCCAAATGGGTTATTCTCTAGAGTGGTGGAGACTGCTGATCTGTGGGACTCGCACAGCTTTAGGAAAAGGCAAGCAACCAGCCAGGGTTAACTTGACTAGCTACCTCTCTTTCCTCTAATTATGGGGTGATGAGAAGCAGCTGTGCTCTTAGCAGGACCCAGTCAGGGACAGCAGGTGTGTTCCTGTTGTTCTCCTCAGCAGAGAAAAGAATGGAAAGGAGAGAGAATGCCCTGGCTGGCTTATCTGGGCTGTGTGAGTATGTATTTTACTTACATTCATTTGTTTTTAGTTTGAGTAGGGTATAAGCTAAAGTGGCACCTGTCGATTTTTTTTCTTTTAATTTCCCTGATCTGGAATTATTTGCAGACAGATTGAATCAACACAAGCCCAAGAAGTGGGATTTGTTAGAACCTAAAATGGATGTGAAATCTGAGGCTCCCTGCCATGATGCAGCTCTGTATTAGACCTGAGTATTGAATGTTCACAAGTGCTGTCTCTGTCAAACCTATACAATTCAGGTCCCCTAAAAAGTCAGGGTGGAGGTTAAGTTCAATTTCCTTTATGTGGGGTGTGGAGTGAGAGAAAGAAGGAAGTGATCAGATGCCTATAATCAGCAATTCCTTTTGCATGTTGAGGAACCACTGGTCTCGTAATCAATGTATAAAATACTTGCGGACTGGAGCCTCATGATTTCTGGATACTTCAAGAGGAGCACTGTTTCCTACACCAACACTCTGTAAACAGAAGGCAGAAATAATGGCCGGAGAAACTCATGCAGATATTCTGATGCTTGAACAAACATCTCTGGTTGTCTTCATTTAAAAATATGCTCTCTCACAAGATAAGGCTTAGAACTTAACCTTGAGTCTTTTACAGTGAAGTATTTCAATATTAGCTCACTTGGATCTTCTGGGCTGGGTTCAGAGGAGGCATACAGGGACTACTAAATGCATCTCCCTTAATCCCAGCTCAGACGGTAAAAGCTCAGTAAAGACACCATCACCCCTGGGAAGGTCCAAGTGAGCTGATTGCTCTTGGCATGGTTACCGCCCTTGTTCTGAAAGATCTTCCTCTTAATGCTTCTGTAACTCCTATGAGCAACAGCATGGGAGCAGACACAGAGTATCCACCCAACTTCCCCAAGACACCCACATCACAGACACCCACAGGACAGCAAAAAACTACAGGCAAAGTTTATGCCAGAGTTTTTTAAAATTTAGATTCATGCTGTAGCTCGAAGAAAAGAACCTGCCAACTTGCATAGTTTTATTATATCAGGAGCCCTATTGCCACAGCTGTTGCTATTGCACCAAACTGCATCACTGCTAACAGCAGCCAGTTGTACAGTACTTGATAAATCAGGGTGAGGTTTTTATTCTACAGCTATGGGATTTGCTGGAAGGAAGGCCCTGGTAATATTGTCATAAATATGGAATCCATTGGGAGCACTTCAAGAACCCTCCAGTAGTTGAGATGTATTGTGTGACTATATGAATAGAAGTAGCCTCTGGCAAGTGGACTCCATTCCTGAGATACAAGCCTGTTGCTTCCAGGTGGATGGAGCTATAATGTTGCTCTTGTTTTGTAAGCTGAATGATAAGGTGACATCTGACAAATGACATGCTGCCATTGTCCATTTAAATATCTCTATTTTACTACTTACAGCGTAAGAGAACTAGCTGAGGTTTTGGCATTTATCTGCCATTTAGATCGGTCCGATGCTTCCAACAGGGTTGAGAATTGTGACTTGTCAAAAGCTGTTAGCAGGACTAAAGAGGGATGTGGCACTAAGGCACAGAACAGGGGCTTCCTGCAGAAGCTGGGCCTTGCAACTCTGTGCAGATTATTCATCTAAACCCATTTTTGTTGGTAGCTGTAACTTAGAGAAAATAACTTCCCACCATGTGTATGGGCACAATGCCATCCTAATGAATAGGCATGAATGTAACCAGCCTGGCAATCTTGATGTGCATACGTTATGCATACGAAGGGCAGAATTGCAACCTGAGAACACTGAAACACTTGATTCCTCTCAATTTCCACTTCTATAGTTAAAAGGACTGCACAGATCTATGTGGGGGTGGGAGGGAGAAATTAAGGTAGGATCTGTGCATCCAGGCACTGGACTGGGAAAGGGCTCAAGGACTCTCGCAGATTGGAGCAAAGGATCCCTGGAAAGGGTGTACAGAGCATCTTTGAGGCCTCTTTGGGACGTGGGGAGAAAGAGAAAGCAGTGTCAGGCTAGGGGCCAAGCTCCACCTGTTTTCTGCCTGATAATTCAGGCTTAACTTGCTCTCAGCCAACCATTAGCAGCTTTCCAGAATGCCAGCCCACAGAGGTGCAGGGGGCTGCACTGTTCCTTCTTCCTCCCTGCCCAGCTCAGTAGGTCATTCTGACTTCTGCTGGCCAGCTATACCTGAGGAGGAAGATCGAACTTGACATAGTGATTAGTGTCCTCCTTTGGTCACCTGAGCTGGAAAGCCATGGCTGGGGCCTCTAGGTGCTGCAGTAATGCAAATAGTAATTCATAAGGAAGGAAGTAGCGGTCAACATGTTAAAGATCTGTGAGTGTCACAGTTTGTGGGTAGGACAATAGTCTTATGGGGGACAGCCCTTTGGGACTGGGCAATAAGAGAGAAGGAAGGGCCCTGTGGATTTGAAACACCCTTTCTCCTGATGCTGTCCCCGCTGGTGGGGGTGTTAAGATTTTCTATAGTACTAGTTACTGTAAAGGCACGCAGTAGTGGCTTCTAGGCCACAATTATTCAGGATGCAGTTTTGAAATATTTTTCTTCGGTGGCTTTTATTATAAATAAAAATTGTAACCCCCCAAAATTGGGCCAAATTAATTCTATATGTAACTTCATTGCAATCAAGGGCTGAGATGGCCCAGTGCGGTGTTTGAAATAATTCTCTTGTTTAGTATAGCATGAAGTTTGGGTCAGGGCACAGAATATTTTAATATGTGAACTAAAGGCTGTAGTAAATGCAGCTATTTGTCTTACACAAAAGGATTCATTTAAACATGCTGTCCACAAACCTTTCTTAAAGTGGCACCATTACGTTTTTATATTTAAAAATAGAAACTGATGACGTCCCCTTGCTTCTGGCAACACTCCCCCTCCCCTGTTCTGGTGGAGCTCTCTAGGGATGAGTCATTCCCTCTCTATGGGCTCTGTAGTTTACGGCCTCTCTACAGACATTGCCAATGAGGGTGCCAATCGTGTTGTGGTCTGAGATTACCCACAATTCCAGGCAGGTCAGTGGAAAAGCTTACAGTTTACCACTGCTTGCATGGTCCCATTTTGAATTGGTATCTTAAATCTTCCTTTTTATGAAGCAGTGATCATTCCTTTTCTTAGGCCTAACACCTGAGAGCATTTTTTGTCATCTGTTTTGTTTTGTTTTCTTCTATTTGATGACGACACGACTAGTTGTGAAAATCCTGAAGCTACTATGTAGAAGTAAATTGAGTTTGTTTCATCATCTCATGTTGGTGTAAAACTGGAGTAGTGCAGTGGTGGATTAGGTGCAACATGTTCAAGGAATAACTTCAAGCTAAGATGATTCCTGAATATACATCAACCTAACATCACAGTTACTAAAATAATACGCTGGGAAGTGGTCACGTTAGTGTTGTGTGGGATTTTGGCCTTCTGGGACCTAAAGCAAAATGGAATTATGCCACAATAAACCAGAAAGTTCTGTGATTGGGTATTTGCCAACATTTTAATTTTTCCAACATAACTACACAAAGAATACTTCAAATAGCATATAACACAGCCATAAAGATGGATGACACTGTCATAATAGAAGGTGAAGTTGAGATAGTTGAATGTAGGCAACCCCCCAAAACACCAGTCAAAACTTGGCCACCCCCTTATGTTTTGTTACACTGCAACAAAGTTGGTGATTGACATTTTAAATGTAACTGATTTGATTGCAAACCAACATCTGGAAAGAATTTAAAACAATATTTACCCTTGGTAGGATTACAAAGGGCAACTCTTGATTATAGGTGTTATACATTATATATTTTTCTTAGCACAATTGCCATGGAAAAGAAAAATCAAATGAAAAACATGCATGTCAAAATATAAATGTCAGACTATTAGCATGGGCTATCTAAACTACCCATCATAAAGCATTGAGTTGGCTGATCAATGTGACGCTTTAAAAAATGAAATAAAAACCTCATGTAATGGAATGTCCAACAGACATTTATATATTCATCTCCCCTGCCTATCTTTCTGGTATAAATTGTTTTCAATGGCTGTTGATGGGACTGGAGTTTGACCCTTGGTGTTACCCAAACAAGTCATGAAAACATTTAATATCAGAAGTAGACAAATAGGTGGAGCCCTTCTCAGTGCTTAGCATGAAACTCTTTTTGCTTCACTTATACAAGCAGTCCTGGTGTGGGGCTACTAGCATAAGTAAGGCAAGCTGGATTTTACCCAGAGTGTCCCTTATACTAAACTCTGTTAACAGTACTAATGTCCCTTATTTCACCAGTTCAAAAATAATTACTTGGCAGGTTTGTGGTTTACTCTTTGTACACAGACGTCACTTCCCAAATCCCTGAGTGTGAATGTGTTTTTTCCAGTTTAGGTCTCTGGACATCTAGTAAATGCACTGCATAGGCTAAATATGTTACAG